TTGTTCCATCAAAACTTTTCTTCTTGTTCTAAGAGGTATTGATTCATTTAGGAAGGTATTAAATTCTCGATCGTAGATACTTAAATGAACTAGTAAAACAAGTATATTCAACGAATTAAAAAAAAAAACGAAAAAAGAAAGTAAAAACAGAAAAGAAAGTATTTTTGCAAGAATAAATAAAAAGGCCAAAATTGTTCTTCTGGATTTCATAAGGGTTTATTTTCATTTTCAATGTATTGTAATCTTTGTCTTTTTTTCAGGTTTACCCTGTTTAGTTGACTGGGTATTTAAAAGAAAAAAGCATTAAAAATTGAGTAAAATTATTACCATAATCTTATTCTGTGATAAAACAAAAAAATGTTTGTTTGCACTTTCTTCTAAATCCTTTTAAAATCAAAAACAATAATCGATGTTTCAATGATTTTGCTTGGTTGTTAGACGGTGACTCTTTCACTCTTTCTTTCTTTCTTTTTAAAAGCGCATTTATATACGAGTGGATGCCAAATTTGTAACAATGAAGTCAAGCATTGGTGCCAGTGAAAGAGTAGTTGTTTTCATATTCCACATTCGACATTACTTTTTTTTGTCTTTTGTATTATTTTTTAGACAATGTCTCTGTTATTTGTTGCTATTGTCATGTTTTGTCCCTAAATCACAGTATCAGATACCAATGTTAGTTTCGTGGTTGGTAATAAATGTACTTAGTCCAAGATCACTATATAAATTAATTGCTCGGTGTCATGGGACATGTAATTAATAAGTGAAAGTCGAATACACTATTAGCAAATTATGGATTGTAATTAAATTAATAATGCATTACAGGAGGGAGCCGAAATCTCTGTGTAAAAAGCATGCAGGTTTTTTTTTGCAAGCAACTTATTCGCACTGATCTAAAAAAAAAAAAAAAAAAACAAAACAAAACAGAGAGCTGGTTCGCTGGTTCATGGTTTTAGTTCAAAATCTTGTTTCAAGATTTTTATTGTGGATTGCGAAATGACCAGTTCAGAAGATGTCTTTCCTTAAAAAGAAACGGTCTACTGGTGATTCGACATAATGGCCTCGAGTTGTTAGAGATAGACGAAAAGTCTTCGCGTTCATTCTTTCTCCACGCAAGCGACGCCACGTTATCAAATCTGCGAAAATATGAAACCTGTCCCTTCTTTTGAACGAGTTAAGAATCCAAATACTAGCGAGCTAGTCAACCAAAAATATTCATTATCTTTAAATTAAAAAGAAAAAAGAAAATTAACATTTACTTTGGTATGTTATTTTTTTACGCTTGTTTTTAATTAATGAACTGTGCACAACGATCCTTACTATAACTACTACCTTCTTTCTTTTGAAACACACCAAAACGAAGTATTTTAAATGCACGCAGTCGTTAATAATTCATATTGAATTTTTTTAAAAAATGGTATTATTCAGTCACAATAAAAAAAACATCACTAAACTTTCTATCAACATTGTCGTTAATTAAAAAGGGCAACTTTATTGCTGATTTCAGAGCCTTTTAAAATTTTATTTTAGTTAGCAGAAGAAAAATAAAGGATTTTTTTTCACGATGCTCTGACCGAAATTAATGAATGTACTTGTAATGAAAGATATTTTTTAAGTTTAAAAAATATGGACAAGTCGCGAAATTAAATATTTCCCTTGTTTATGAATTGTTTAATTTTTGTGCTCGCTTCATTTAAATTGCAACAACACTAAGTTCCACAAGTTCAATCCTCAATGAAACTGAATGCAATGCTATGCTCCATAAATCAATCTGAATAGTTATTATTGGGGCTTAGTAGTGTAACAAAAATACAATTATACCCTGTAAAAAGAATTAGATTCACTTAGCGCAAATTAAAATAGTCCAGAAATAACTGATATAAAAGTAAAACAAGAGTAAGACGTGAACTTGACACACACACACACACAAAATTGCGAGGTTTATTCTTCAAAGAAAGGTTAAAACATGACTGAGGTGAGGTCCCATCTTAGGTACCGAATTGATTTAAAGAACGTTGCTAAAACGACATAAACATAGTGTAAGAAAGTGATTTCATTTCAAAATTTAATCAAAAGTATTTGTAAAAAATACAGGAATTCCAATTTTAATATCTACGTTACGTATATACATCAAAGTCAAACAAAGCATCATAAAGAACTGCATTCTTTTGGTCTTCATTTTCTTTACCTGAGGAATTGAATAAATAAAAAGAATAAAAGACAATACGCATAAAAACGTCTCTTTTTTCCCCCTCGTTAGTCAAGCTATTCTTGTTTTTAAGTTGTTGTTGATTACAGGTCCATAAACGTGTTAAAGCACAAAGATTTAAAAACATAATTAATGATAAATTTATGTTCCCCCACTTAAACGCATACACAAGTAAGAAGTATCTACTACTACTTGGTAGATTTACTTTTACACACCAATAACATTGTATATGCAACACATCCACACACAGAAATAATGCGCAATTGAATTGTTTTAATTTCTTAGGCAGCTAGATTAAAGATTGATGATAACAAAAAGAAAACAAATTAAATTTTAGTTAAACAAACTTAAATAAACCTGTTTGGATCTTTTATTTTATATTATTTTTTTTTTTCTTAAATAGTGCCAAGGTTATTTATTCATTTTTTAATTTAAAATATTCTTTCTTTTCTTTTTTTTATTTATTTAAAAATAGACACTGTTCATTTCTTGTTGAGTAGTCTGGCTGAAGTAACAGGATTTTTTAAAATAATTATTTATTTAATAAAAAAAAAATTGTAAACAGCCGTTAAAACTACTGCAAAAAAAATAAAAAAAATAAAAATGTTTGCCTTTGGGCGATTAACATTTTTGGGAGTAATAAAACAAGAAAAATATCTTTAAAAATATTATTTGTAATCTTTTATTGCCATTTTTGGTTGTTTGCTTCCTCACTGATACACGACGGTTTCGGGTTAATAATTCTTTCCACGTCGGATAAAAATAAAAATTAATGTAGCTAGAAAAAGGACGAAGAAAGTGTCATAAGAGAGGAAGAAAGGAATGAAGAACAAAAATCAAGTCGGTGCAAGTCTTTTAAAAGAGTTTTTTAGTGGGTGTGTGTCGAGAGCAAATCTATTTTGCTGACAGTTTTAAAATAAAAGGTCAATAGCGTGTTAGAATTTTTCTTTTTTACAGTGTCTCATATTGCAAATAAAATGTTATATATTTAAACAATCGTAAAAAAAAAAATTAACAACAACTCAGACACTTAATTAAGGCTGGAAAAATAAATGAACATTTTTTAGCAAAGTAAATTTCATTTCGTTAAGGTCGTATGTGAAATATTGATCACTACTGCTATATGTTGTCTATCGGAAAGCAAGTTTTGTATTTGCCGCTCTCATCATGTGAATCGTCTGGCTTTGATTTCATTCAATGACCTCAAGTGCTGTTAAAAGTTTTAAAGAAGGTCGATCCATTATAGCGTCAAAGTTATGTGATTGTCAATTGAATTGCTCTATTTTTGTGTACAATTTAAAAAAATTGGCAAAATTAGTCGACGTTCGTTCTCCCGTTCTACCCACCAAAATGTATCCATGAAAAATAAAAAGAAAAAAAGAAATCCTATTTAAAATTCTCGGTTAAATCTTTTTTTTAATTCTTCTTTATTGGTACAGAATTGATTTATGGATGAATGAATGCTTAATTAATTAATTGCTGATTTTTTTTTAATAAACATATATTCTGATTCATCATTTCAATTTTTTTTAGCGTTGCGTTGGTTGACATTTTCTCTTTTAAATTTTTGTCTAAATCACATATTTTAAAAATTGATATTATCATTTTTGCTTCTCCGTCTTTAGGGGTACGTACGTACCCGCAGGTCGGAGAGAGTCAGAAAAATTTTAATGCTATATTGTCGTAAACATGACTAGAGTCGCTTTCTTTAATTTGCGAACAGGCTCCTACGCGCTCTTGATTGCGTATATAACTTTGTAAATGTGTGTATGTGTGTGTTTGTGTGTATGTGTGTGTGTGTGTGTGTAAGCATGTCATGAACACGGGAGTAATGTAAATTCAAAATAAACTGTTATAGTTTATCTGATATGTGTACTCAACTGCAGTCAAGTGCATAATCACGTGTACGTTATATTGTGTTCTGTCTGTGTGTGTGTGTGTGTGTGTGGAACTTGCAACTATTATTATTCTGCGTATAAAACTGTATCAAAAGATGAAAAATGATAGCGCATTGCTAGTGTTTTGGGGGCTGTATGAATCGCAGTGTAGTACGAATATATTAACTAAATTTGAAAACTAAATGCAATATTCAATCATTCATTATCATCTAATGATTTTTTTTAGGTGCGTGCGTGTCCATTTGCGGTTCAATGGCAAAAATAAAATAAAAAATGCGCATGTTGTCTTATGCAGACAAAACGCATAAGTTGTCTGTTTAAATTGTTGTGTGTATTTATTTATACATAAGCTTGTACTTGAAAGTGTGAATATATACATAAATCTTTTTTCTTTCTGCACGTACGCCTGTGTACGCACTTTCTTTGCGTTCTTTACCTTAAAGACCGAAACGATTGTCTGTTAACGCGTCTCTCTCATCGAAAAACACCGGAGATTATCGGAAATTACCGAAATAGAAAGAACATGAGAAAGAGAAAAAAAGAGAGAAAAGAAAAACAAAAGTGAAAGCCATTTAGAGAGAGAGAGAGAGAGAGAGAGAGAGAGAGAGAGAGAGAGAGAGAGAGAAAGAAAGAAAGAAAGAAAGAAAGAAAGAAAGAAAGAGAACGCTTCAAGTGGGAGGGGGTCTCGGAATTTAGCGGAAATTGACGAAATCTGCCGATGTAGTAGCTGCAAACGAGAGACGAGAACCAGTCATCCCCAGTTGCTGTTTGGAGTGCGTCGTCTGCAAGGCTAAAGCTAACGTCAGTTTGGTGTCTTCAATCTTTGCATTTTTGTTCTTGTGTAGCCGAAGCTGATATTTTTTCCTTTTGATCAACACAACTTTTCACGGATTAGCATGGCTGCAACACTTGAGGTAAATATGAATTTAAAGAAAAAAAATGTTAACAATGAAAGAAAGGCTTTTTTTTGCATTGGCACTAACTAAAAAACATTTAACTTTTTAAACACTTTATTCAATTGATTCCCTGAGCTGAGGTGGAAATAGAAATAGTATTATTAATTTACTAAAGTATTTATCTTAACATTTATATCAAAAGTATTCAGTGAAATTATTTATCTAAAAATGTATTTTAATGCATGCGGACTGGAGTGCATTATAGAGGAATATGAATTTAAACATAATTTTGCATTTATGCAAATTATGAAACATAAAAAGAATTAAGAAAGTGCGTTTTGAAAAAAAAGAAAAGAAGGAAACCTTTTCAATATGAAACAAAGAATAGCGTCCATTGAAATAACGGCTTTTAGTTTTAAATCTATTTATACATTTAAAGAATAACATTTTCATATTTCATGAGGGTGGGTGCCATTATTAATCAATCCGTCCATTTTCGTCCTTTTGTAAAAGTTGTGTATGTAAGACGCGCGTTTTGATGGCTGCTGGTTTTTCTTTTTTTTCCTCTCCTTTTTTAAAATTTTATTCTATCTTTCCTTCTCTAAATTAAATAAAGTAAAGGTGTTGGGAGTAGAAAAAAAACTTGCTTTATGTTGGCCTGATATTATTGATCCGTTTCTCTAAAGCTTGGATTACTATCTTTGTACTTTATTTCATTCTCTCTCTTTCTCTCTCTTTTCCAATAATCAACCAGGACCATCCCACGCATCAACAAAGAAGAAAAGGAATCTCTGCTTATAATAAATAAATGAAATAAATAAATAATAAATTTTTGTGGGGTTGCCTCATTTCGTAAATAATGTTTGTTAGTTTTACTTTTAATTTTAATTTAATTTTATTCTTATTTTTGAAGAGTAGACGTTTACTATCGTCGTCGGAGTCAAAGATGGGATCGCGTATATAAGTTTGTTGTTTATTAATTTCCCATCTGATTATCGAATGCCATATCGGGAATTAGTAACATTTATTTACCGTATTTGATGGAAACCTTACCCAACTTCCAAATAAAAAGATTAAAAAATATATACCTCCCTGGTTTTTAGGTTTGAAGTTTGAGGTGGTAACGCCGTAAAAATATAAAAATGAAAAGTGGGGTCCTTTGCCATCATGAGCAACGTTTCAGACCTCTACTTTTTTTTTTAACTCACATTTTAATAATTTTTTTCTAACTTAGACTGGTTTGTACCTTTGATCTAAATGTGTCTAAAAGGCATCAGCTAATTTCCAGAGATATTTGAATATTGTTGCGTACTTGAAACTGTAGGAAAGATAAAAAATAAATAAATAAAATCAGGGTACCGTACGTGTATGTCTCTCCTTAAATCCCACCGTTGGTTAATCATTGTCGTTTTATTGTCCTGACTCCGCTTTTTTTCTCCAATACTCGCTATTACACACACACACACGCACGCGCACGCACACACACACACACACACACATAAATTATAACAAACTTTTATTGGCATAATTTTTTATGCTCCGCCTTTTTGTTTGATGTTTAAAGATAATTCTTTCCTATAGTAATTATTGTAATTATAATATCTTTATTCAACTGATTTTTATTCTTCAGAGACCTAGTTTCAACGTGATGATGTTTTTCATGTTTTTGCTATTTTTCGGTACTTTCTAAAGATCAAATCATTTTCCGTTTTCTTTCCTTCGAATATTTTTATTCACTCAGTTGTATCATTACTCAGTTTTTTTGCGAGATTTGTTCGTTTTACCATTTTCAACATTTCCTTTGTAATGCACATTTTAACACGAGCTCGCCAAGAGTGAACGAATGCTTATAAAAACACGCTAACATTGAAAAAGTGTTTTTTTTTTAGTTTTAAAGTAAACACATACATTCCAAATAAATAATAATAATATCGATGCCTTTTTTGGAAATCTTGGAAAATTAACTGTTGACTTTGTTTTCAAATGAGCTACCAATTTCAAAATAGTTGTATGCTCCTTAAATTTAAAAATATGCAATTTTCGTGTTTGTTTACTTTTTTTACTTTGTTGAAAGATTTTCTTTCGCTAATTGTGCTTACATTCTCGAAACTTATCGCGATGCTTAAAAAAAACAAAACAAAAATAACAACTCCTTGTAGTCACCCTCTCATTTTTATTGCTTTTCTCTAGAAATTTGTACATTTTTTAATCTTTATTTGATAAAATCTACTGTCTAATTTTATTTTTCTTCTAAAATGAAAAACATGTTTTTGCGCCTTTTGTTAAATATTTTTTGTAACATTATTTTTCATTAACCTTCTTACTGGAATAATTAGCTTACAAGTTTAATTTTTGTTCTTATATTGCATTTTTCTTCAGAAGTCATGTCTTCCACTTCGTAGCTTGTTCATTTGTGATGAAAAATATGCTGATTCCTTAAAATTCAGTGTCTCGCTTAGCGACACCTTAAAAAAAGTTACAAAAGTGTTTAAAAAACCACATTTTACTTGTCTGTATGCACACACACACACACACACACACACACACACACACGAGCGCTCTGTTTCTGTGTAATACTCCTCCCCAAAAAAAACGCATTTTTTAAATTTATGCTTTTTGTTGTGCAAATCTACGTGTAGGTTCGCGCGCTTTGTATTGAAAAATATATTTGTCTCTTGAGTGTAACTTGTTATACGCCTCCTCGTGAGAGAAGATTCGATACATTTGTGGGAAGTAACAAAAATTATCAAGCTCCCTTGGCAATTGGGAGGCACAGTCTAGGGGAATGGGTCCCAGGAAACTAGACAAACTTTTGGGGAGCAGACTTAAGAAAAATCATGAACAGATAAAGATAGGCATTCCATTTTTTAAACTCTCACCCCCAATCCAGCCGTGTTTAAGGTGGGAATCCTACACGTCCATAGGATTAAGTAATAATAATATAAAAACAATCTTCATTCTTTCTTTCGCATCACTTCTTTTTTTGGACAGATTGACCCTGACCCTCTTTCTTTCAGTGCAATGCCAGAGGTACTGCATGGGAGGAGGGGATGGCATTTTGGAACAGAAAGCATACATTTCATTTTTTTTTTTTTTTATCTAATTGAGCTTGTGGTTTTCTGGTAAAAAAAAATGACCCGGTAAGTTCTAGTCATCTGCCTCCGCTACACGAAGGCAAATTTGAATTAAGCTTTTTGTTAATTTACGGTCCCAGCCGGCGTATGTGGAGGTAGAAGCAAAAATTCTCAGTTCCTTCCGTTTCGTACCTTCTTTTCGAGACGTCTGCCTCAGGCATCAGGGGTTGACCCTGATGACTCGAGTGCAATGGGAAAGGTACTGCCGCTCTCTTTGGGAATCCTTTTTTTTTTTTTTTTTTTTAGATCTCCATTAGGGGTTCTGCCTGAACCAAGGGAGTATGTTTATCGAATAGAATGTGGCAAAATCGAGTTTAAAATGGAAGTCCCACTCACTTTACATGGGAATGGGATGATACCAAGGACAAAAATTGCTCAACCATCTCGGCACTTTCCTTTGGGGATGCCTCGAACCCTAGGGTTACTAGCGCCTCTTCAAAAAGAAAAGAATGACTCCAGTGAGGTTCTGGTGAAATTCAGGAAGTAGGTATCCTTTATGCCCATTCGCAGAGTGTGTATAAAAACAAATTCGGGGTTTAATGTGGGATTTCGCAAAGCCGTTCAAAAATTGCTCAAGCCACCTCGGCACTTCCCCTTTTGGGGACGTTTCAGGCGCCAGGTAATGACATCACCCTCCCACCCCCCGGAAAAGTACTGTCTGGGCTGGGTGGATAGCCCCTTGGGACTTCTTGAGCTAATTTCAAAGACAAAGTACACCGGCTCTAACTACGGAAGTACGTTTCTTTCCCTTATTTTCGTCCATGATTCATTTTAAGTTAACATGTGCGTATTATTTAATTTTACGTAAAACTTTAATGAAAATGTGCTCAGAAATGTCTGTGTGCGTGTACAAACAAATGAAACGGATCCAACACTCACTCACCGCAAGAATTACCGGCAAGATCATGCTTGGCCAAGAGAAAGAGAAGCTAATGAATTACGATGTGCGCATGTACAGCAAACAAAAATATCGATCAATGTATTGACTTAAGAAAATGAAGTGTTATCTGTTTTACTCCGTCTCATATTGCAAAGAAAACGCTTAAGATGTCTTCCCACGTGCTTAACAACCGTTGTCAATGTTTCTTACACGGTCCCGTTCCCTTTTTACTTTCGGAAAAAAATCGCATCAGGAGGCGCGGGATTTTAAAACAAGCACAAAGTGGGTATGTCTTATATACTACTACTAAACACAATGGTAGTAGGAGTTGCAAAGTACGGTATTTAAATAGCACTTGATTGGCTGATTGGGGATATAGATTTGTTGAATGTCTTTAGAGACTGGAGGGAGAGCATTTTTTTTAAATGCGTACGTGATCCATGTCATGTCACCGTCGGCATTTTTTTCTAATGTACAACTACGTTCGGTTGTCATCAGTCATGGTGATAAATGTTTTATTTTTTTACCCACACTCATATTCTAGCTAGATATTAATAATTTTTAGATTTTCTTTTTAGGCTGTAAATTGTAATTGAAAAATATATACAAATTTTTAACTATAACAATAAACAGTCAGTACATACACAGACACTACACTACACTCTCTAGTTACACTCAAAAAGTAGTAACGGACCTTTCGCAAATATGTTTTGATCACATAATCAATCAAAAGAATGGAAATAATTATCTAAATTAGCATTGAACTAATAATGAATCCTTATCAAAAAATTCATCAGCTCCAAAATGGAAAGTATTTAAAAACGGAATTTTAATTTTTTCTTTTTTTTTTTTTAAGTGTATTATTCAGCGCCGGTGGAAATAGTAAAAAACGTCTTTATTCGTTATGGTCTTTTTAATTTTTTAAATAAAAAAAAAAAAAAATGAAAAATATATGCAAGTGTTGGTGGCAGAACAAAGAAGAAACAACGAAATTTTAAAGAAAT